GGAAAGTTATAGCTAACAAATTTCAAATTTGACTCCCAAAACTGAAAGATATGTCTTCACTTTCTTGCCTCCATCTTCCCAGTCTGAAATAGGATTAAAGCTATTGAAAACACAGGGATGTCATGAAAATAGCTAACTAATGTGAAGGAGTTAGGTGCTATAGTGTGAAACTCTAAGAAAAAATCAAAAATTCAGATCTCAGGATAAGGCATGCAGGAAATAAAGCCAATTAGCAATAATGATAAAAAAGAACAGTGAATAGATCATTATATATTTGAATATACTGTATATCAAACAATGCAGGGTTTCTTCGGAAAAATTAGTTTGTGGTCAAGATGAAAACTGTACCAGCCAACCTTAAACAAGGCTGAAAAGATATATTTATTCTAGATGTTTCCTAACTTAGAATACTTGACACAGACAGCTTAGTAATAGGGTGGATTTTTTTTTTTTTAATATTGATATTGTGGTATCCCTCAGATACGGCTCAGGCTAGACTAAATGCACTAGTAAACCAAAGTTATTTTTACTACTATGATCAGTCTTGATCAAAAGCTTAAAATTAACTCTGTACATTGCTCTCCTTTGTATGTCTGAATGAAGTTGCAGGTTATAGTTGTCGGTGAAAGGTCTCGAATTATGATCTCTGTTCCATAATCTGAGGAAGATTTTCCATTTCAATGCATTAATAATACACTTATAGCTCAATTAAGGGTCAGTCTTTTCTTGCAGCTTGGTTGCCACCTGGCCAGGAGGTAGTCCAGCTAGCCATATGACAGCAACAAATATAAAGTTAGCACGGTTGTGCTTTTTTTTTAGTGGCAATACCAGTAGAAGCAATTGCTAACCTTTCTACTTTGCTATTCCTGCACAGTCCTCTGCTACTGTGGTGACCCAGTCGTATCTACAGCCACTTGACGACCCAGATCAAGGAAACTGATTTATGTGCCAGGATTAGCTCCCTAACCTGATTTACTGTGCAGCTGCAAAAACACATGTGCTGGCAATGAAGGACACAGCGCAAGTATGAAAAATGATGGCTGATGATAAAAGGGAAGCCAGAATAAACGGCACTGGCACTAAATATCTGACTATGCCCACAGACAGAAGCTGTCCAGGAACCTTTGAAGAAGTCTGAAAATTCTAGATTTGGATTAAGCATTAAGTTTATGAATTACAAGAAACTATATACAGAAGATCTGAATCCTTATGGTGCCCAAATGAGCAAATGAGCATAAAAAAACATGTTGGTTCCTACAGTGTTTTTCTTCAATGATATCAATTTCCAAATTTATAAAGTCTTAATTAGAGTTTAAATCCTAACTGCTGTGTAACCACCTTGGGAGTTATTATCTCGCTGAAAAATGAGAGAACCTCCGGAAAAAGACTGAAATAGAGGTAGCATTCCACTCTTTAGGAAATAGCAATCTGTAAAATGGATTTTCCAGTCTAAAAACATTGTTGCAAAACATTCTTGTAGTTCCTCAGTAGAAGATTCAAAAGTACCATCAATGGAACTAAGCCAACAATTTACATGTATTTATTTAGGACCCGATAACAAAGAATGTCAGTTTGGGAAAATGTTACATACAGTCTTCAAAAGCATTATCCAGATTAATGCTCAGACGTGGTCCAATAACAGCACTTGAATGCTAAAGGTATCCAGCAAATTTGTATCAGTTAGTAACACATATTCATATTTTATTTCTGCTCTTTACTCTAGTTTATTTTGTTTCTGAAAAATCCTGGCAGCATAAAATGCCCATTCCCCTGGTAGATTTACCAGGTGGAAGATAACTGCACTGTCTCTGTCAACACGAGGGGGAGCACAGACACATCTATCAAATTGACACAAGTCCCTGCACTTGATGAGCTCAGTGGAATAAGTCTTCCACCTCCAGTTTTTGTAATGCCAATGAGCTATGAATCAGGGATATTTTTGACATCTGAAAGCAATTCAAGGTGAGAGACCCAAGATGACTAGTATTTGCCAGTTAGAACTATAAATAAACTTTTCAGCACTAATAGACCCCTCCAAAGATATTTATATAGGCTAAAATTATATGGATCGCCTCTCACTAAGGAACGGAATGCTATTTTTATTTTAAAGTGTGTCGTTTCTTAATAGATGCAGTCATGCTGACAGGGGGTAGTACTTGTCTTCCTTTGTAACCACAGAAAATCTATTATTTTTCATTATTCTACTGAGAGGATTTTCAGACCTGTCCTAGTGTTTTATATTTTTAGTATTGGAGGAATTTATTAGGTTTTTTTTTTTTTCAGTGAATCATGTTTCTTAGAAAGGCTAATGAGTCAAGATACTAGCTTGTAATGACATTAGCATACATTTAGTTGACAAGTAGGTATGTATACGAAGCTAAAGTCACAAAGCGTTTCAGCAGAAAAAGTGACTCAGGGTTACTGTACAAATTATTAATATGAAAGAATTATCTTTTAGAGATAGAGACCATATAAAGTTTTCTGTATGCGATGTGAAACAAAGCAAGTAACTTAAAAATGAGGGAAAGACTAGCCATTATTTTCAGGCACAACAGTATCAGCAATATCATTAACACTATCAGTGTACATAGCTGAAGGGGAGAGAACGTGAAGGCCTCAGTGGAAAGACCATGAATTTTAGCACTTTCAAAGGGCAGAAATTAAATGTACATTAGTCATATTTCCACTAAACCAAAGGAAAAAAATCCAACAGTAAAACTGACAAATATTCACAGTAGATCTACGATAAAAATCTAAAATAACATGAAAAGTAAACTAGATATAATGGCAAGTTTTAAAAGATAAATAATAGTAAGGGGGAAGTATTTCTCTTGTATGCTATGGTAATGGTATGCTCTGCAGAAAGCTATTTTTCTCTCTGACAGAACATTTAACACATCAACAGTAATAACTATTTTGCCACCTTTTATGGACAAATTCTACACATTAAGTCTAGTCATTTTGATGGATTTGCTCCAGATTTATGCCAGCATACCAAAGTCTAGGATACTTTTAGGAAGGTCGGACCAGAAACATGACCAATCACAAGATGGAGAATGAAATGGAGAAGGAATAAATATTTTACTGTCTTATTCATCTTTCTATAAAATACGAATAAATCTTCAAAATACATCATGGAAACAGAAAGAAACCAAACTTTTGTGTCCGAATTTCTCCTGTGCTTATTGTAAATCCAAGATTCTCTTGAGTGCTCCTGTGAATGCAACTATCTGGTGAGTGAAGAACTTTAAACCTCAGTTCCCAAAGGAATTCATGACAAGAGAAACCACAAGACTAGAGATAATTCCAAGCATTAACTGCTCATTCTTTTTCTTTAAACGTCCAGTCTCAGGAGAATATTGAATAACCACATCCTCCTCTTTACATGCTTGGTATAAAAACTATTTCACTGAGAAACTGCACAGTTGAACACAGCTATGAAAGACCTACTCTCTTGTACCAGTTAAGGCAAAATAAATACTTGCTTCAAAAGATAAGAAATCAAGATAGATTCTTTCAATAAGTACATGCAATAAATAACACTTTAGCATTATTATGAATAAAACATTACTCAGATTAAATGTGAACAACAGAGTCAACTGCAGAGGGAGAGATGTATCATTCCTTCACCTAAACTTTAAATTAACCTTGACATGCATACCTAAATTTTAAGTAATTGTTTGAAATATTGACAAAGAAACCACAAAGGATGTAAAAAGCAGCAGGGAAAACATGAATGCAACATATTTAAATTATTCTTTGTGAATATATTCTTTAATCAATTTACTCTGCTTTTCTGTCTGCCATGTACATTTGATTTGATTTAATCATCATTTCTGTGAATTTATGTGAATTAAATTCTGCCTGTGGGGAACTAGTTCTTCTGCTTATCTTCCTTCTTTTGCTATTTTCTCTGCATGTCTTTTTTTTTTTTTAAGAAACAAAAATAATTAGTTGAACGAATTGGAAACAAATGTTAGATATTTCTGTCCATGGGTGAATAGTCATTTCAGGTGCATACAGATATTCATATGAAAAGAGGAACCAGGAAGTAATTGTAGAAAAAAGAGCCCAAGTATGTGATTATGGACAGAAATAAATTGTAAGCATAGCTGTTTAGAACTCAGATCAATATAGGTTAGATAATAGATACAAATATAGATAGTATAGCTGCAGCTGTATTACTGCATATAAAGTAAAAAAAAAAAGAAAATTTACATTGTTAGACATTTCTAATAATCATAGAAAATAGAATGATAACTAAATGGGATTTATTTCACCTAGCTTTAGCTGCCTAAAGTGAGATGTGTAGTCTAATGAAGCCCTCTTAAAGTCAATTAAATGAGGAAAGCACTCCCAGTTTTTGAAATGCAGGTCTGTGACAGATGAAATGAATTGTCCTTCTGTGGATGCCTCTTCTTCTCTGTTGACTCCTGAGGTGAGTTGGATGACTAGTTTAAACTGGAAAGCTAAAATTCAGTCAAGGCTGACTTCAGTGATACAAAACCCTGGGATTTCAACAACAGTCAGACTGTGTAATGGAGGGTAGAACTGAATGTGTGATCATCTGTGATCCATCTTAATTGTGCAGCTAAGAAAGGTAAGTACTCCCAAACCTGGGTTCCCAGGTGATCTACCCAGATTAAAGATCTTCAAAACAGTACATGTCCATGATATACATCAGCTGGACATACAGCTGGATTCTAGCCATTTCATCTTAGCCCAGAATAGACAGACAGTATGTTAGTGCATATTAAGAAAGGCGTGTCATAATACTGCTCACAATGGCAATTTTCTCTGGCTACAGAAGTCATGGCAGGACATCCGATCAGTCCTTTTCTGATTTAAGACTCACTGGAGGTTTAGAGGGGCCGTTAGATGCCTTTCTCCATTGCACAAGATTTTTCCAGTCATGCAAGAGAGAATGTGTATTATAAATAATTCTAATGCAATCCCAACACTTCCTTGCTTCCATTTTTTTGATAATATGTCTAGCTTACCTTCTATCAGTTTTCCCGTCTGCTCTGCATTTCCCCCAGGCAAGATCTTGGCAATGTAAGCTCCAATTTCCCCACTACTTCCTGGGATTTCTTTCCCACCTACAACTCGGATTCCCAGTCCGTTGCCTGTGATCAAAAGAAACAGACAACTGTGAAGAGAGATGAAGCAATGAATGTTACCCTGGAAAGAAAAAAGAACCCATCAGAGATTACTGCAGTGTGTCATCAATAGCACCTGGCTGTGGTTGGAAAGTTAAGGTTATTGCACCAAGCAGAATATCTTCACAAATGGAGAACTTCTCCTGAGGACAGGAAAGAAGCACTACTGGGCTAACAAGAGAGGAAACTTCCCAGTTTCATCAGCTTTTGAATCCATAGGAAAGGAAACCTGTCACTTTTCAGAAGTAGGAACCATTTGCATGAGTTACTGAAGTCCCATCTGATACTTTCCCCAAAACTTAACTTCAGGTAGCAGTATTCAGTTGACTTTCAGCTTAGGAAAAGAAAGATCCCCATGAGTACTATATCACTGATATCACACAAAGAACCATCCAAACACATCCAAAACTATGTTGAAGCCAATCCTACCTTCCTCTAACAGCCTTTTTGTACTGTAAAATGACAATTTGCATGGCATATTTCCAGTAAGCCTTAATTTGCGAAATTAATTTTCATTAAATTGATAAAAATCCATGTGAAATGTGGATTCAAATGATAGCTTTATCATATGCCCTAAGAACGCAATTTAACTGAAAAATATATTGGCTGAGCTTTGACAATCATATAGAGAGAGAGCTGAAGATCTCTGAGCTCAAATGGCAGAGCATTTATATTTACCTCAAGCTATATTTGGCAACTGCTATTATTTTTCTTAAATATTTACTTGTAATTGACATATTTTACATCAAAGGATAGAGAAATGATCAGAACAGAAAAATCACTCTGTAATGCAACATCAAATCTGGCATATTTTCTCTCTTCTTCAAAAACTACAAAGATGAAAACATTAAAATCAGTTTGATTATTTTAGTAAGAGAAGATCTCCCTTACTTATAAAACACTGAGAGCAAAAACAAAAGATTACAAAATAATCTCATTTAGCTAATCATAGGCGTTGCTAATTTTTCACACCATCTTCTTATTTGAAAAATATTTCCGGTATAAAAAAACCAAATATCTCCTTTGAAGAAAAAGAAAATTTCAAATAAGATGATTCATACTTTGATCTAGGAATGTAAAAACTGATTTTCCCGACCCTGTTGTAATGGCTAAAATAATTAATTTCTAATTTATTAATTTAATAACCTAACCCTGCTGAGTGATTTCCCTAATCAGCTATGGGAAGCTCAATCTCTTTGAAAAGCTGCATCTTTTTAGATTAAGGCCTTTCCTGAGAACATAATTAGTATTCTGATAAATCAGCTCTGAGTTTGTTTTAGAAGTAAGACAGCCACAGTGAGTTTCTGGCCCAAATCTCTTTATAGCAGTAATCTTTCCTGCACTGATTTCAGTCTGTAAGTTCACCTTTTTTTCTCCTATAATTGACCACCTCTATATACATATAGGCCTTATTACAACACAGTAAATATTTTTTCTGTCTTTTGTGTTTCATTGCTTAGTCTGAGCTCTGACAAAATAAGCTTCTACTAGTTGTTATTCCCCAGTTCAGTTAAAACTATAGCCTTTGTGTCTCAACTTTCTTCACACCTTCCTATTAGACATTTTCCAACTAACTGTTTTCTTTCATTGCAGAAGGTGCCTGGTGTTTAGATATGTGCATGGGTCCTATAGAGCACAATAAAAAAAGGAAGGAAGATCACTGTAGAATTATGTCATAAGGAGTCTGGCAGGAATTATTTAATCTGGAAATGGCTCATTCCATGACTTGCAAGTCCAGACCAAAGTGGTGCAGCCACCTGATACACTGATAAAACAGGTGAGTGAGAGCAAAAAGGATAGCTGTATTGTGGTGAATTAAAAGGAAGCATATGAGGACTGTTCTTACAGTTACAGCCTAGCAGTTAGTGTGCACAGGTATATTTGATGCACTGAGATAATGTAGCATTATAAAAATCAAGCAGTGTGCATTGCTGGAACGTGTAAGATGCTCAACCATACAATGATAATGGTGGGGGCTGTTGGCACCTCATATAGTTAAAAATCTTTTTGGAGGAGACAGCATGCTTCCGTCAGGGTTAGGTTTTGAGAGCTGCCTGAACGCACTGTGGGTGGGGATTCATTGTGAGGATGACCACCTGGGAGTTATATGGGGTGATGTGCTAAGAGGTATACAGCATCTAGTGGATGATTTCAGTGTGGTCTGAAGGTCAAGGGCTAGATTCAGGGGTAAATATCCTAGGAATAATCCATGATATGACTGAGGACTAGTTTATGATAAATGGTCTGGGAAATCTTGAGCTTTTAGGAAGGAGGGTTGAGACCCTTTGCAAGCCAGATCTCTTACTGTTTATCCACCATAGCGTGTGACATGTGGAAGACGTTTTGGGATGGTGCTACAATGAGTACAGGCAGGAGTGTTTTACCCATATATCAAAAATAATTTACATCTAGATTACATTTCTACACAAGTTAAAGTTCAGCTCTGTCATATAAACCCATGTCAGAGTCTATTTTTTCACCTATCAGGTGATAGTAAGCCTTGATACTTACAGAACAGATAACACCACATGACAACATAACAACATGAACCACAACTCTGTAAGTTACAACTGCACACAGATTTGGATTTGATATAGCAGGAATTTCCTCTCAAGTTTACTTGATTTCCTTTTTTTTTTTTCTCAATTTAATCTTGCCAGTTCAAAAAAAAAAAAAAAAAACCCAGGAAGAGCTGTGCGGCAGACCTGAATATCCTTAATAGGAGCAGTGAATACTTAGACGATAGCAGGAAATCAGCTAATAAATTCCTTGGTCTTTATGCTAAAACTTGCAGGCAATTTAGCCCCTCTTTACATGTGTGTCTTCAGTTTGTAATTTGAAAACCTGCTCAATGTCTTTTTTCGAGTCAGCTTCTTGTAAAGCTGTCATTCCAGTCTCCTTTTAGGTATGGCAAGTGAATAACTGTCTCTCCCTCTTTTAACAGGAAATTAAGAAATGGAAAAGTTTAAATACTTCAGCTTGAAGAGGACCCTCTAAAATAAATATGTAAATGGACCAACATAATCAGCATAACACAACATCACCTAAATACCCAAGCTAATTACAGGTATGGGGGATATAATTAAATTTTTGCTACAAGATACTTTAATCATGGTAGTTACTATTCCTTTAATTGTAAATGCTGCACGGATAATAATTGGTTAATGAAACATATTACTGTTTGGCTGCTAGTTTTTAAAGCTAGTGATGTGACAGATAGACTGGATTCTGTGTTTAAAACAATAGCTATATCAGACCTGGGATTGTGCTATGGGAAATCCCAGGATTATTTCTGTTTAGGACAGGAGAATAATTTTTTTCAGTGTGATGGAAACAAACTGCATTGTTATTTTAAATTAGCTATTTCAGTGAAAATTAGAAATTTAGCATCTGTGAAGTTTTTTTTTTTTCCCGACCTGAGAGCAAAAGAAAAACAAGTTCTAAATGCCCTTTACACAAGCTGAGAACTAAAGTCTTTAAAAGATGAGCACCTCATTGCATAAAGAGAACACATACCCATACAGAAGCACTTAATTTCATTCCATCCTTAGGACTTCGGAATTCACCACTCTGCACACTTATTAGAGGACTTCTGATGAAGCACTTTTGAAAGACTCATTAATTTATTCCAAATGTGAGGCTCACATCTCGGAACTATAAACTTCAGTAAATCCAAACATATCATAATATTAGTATACACACACACACTCACACACACACACACTCACACACACACACATACTCACAGAAACTAGCCCTGGACCACAGAGCCAACATAAGAACTTTTCAATTTATCAACAGGACTGGACTCTTCATCATGTTGAGGAAAGTGTACAGGTTCAGAGTTTTGTCATGAAACACTACGCTAGTAACTCTCTGTCTGATATTTGATATTTTAATTGTAGCAGAATAGCAGAAGCAAAGAAGTAGTTTGCCATATAAATGGGTGTTTCTGACCCTTGATTCGCTAAATAGCTTTAAAAATCATGGTTGATAAATCAGTTCTGATTTTGCAAATCTAAGGTGTTTAGCCACATAACTGCTAATAAAATCAATTATTTTCTGTGCTAGCATTTAAAGCTTTTTATGCCTAGAGAGCTTGACAAGGATTTTGATTTTATATTCTAAATTTTTAGATTCAAATGTATGAGTGACATTATGTATTAAGTAGCAGAATGCATTCTAAGAGATAATCTTACGTGGGAGGTGGAGCGGTGTGTGGGTGTGGGTGTGTGTGTTTTGTGTGGGTGTGTGTGTGTGGGTGTGTGTGGGTGTGTGTGTACTTATTGCTGGACAAGTCAAGGGGAATTCCATTTAATTTGATCTGTTTGTACTAAATTAAAAAACTGTATTTCCTTATGATTATGTTGTGAAAATGTACTACATGAAATATTTCAACTTAAATCACAAAACTTTTAAAAGTTCAGTTCCTGACAGTCAGAAGTTCAATTCCTGACAGTCAGAATGAATAAGTTACTTTTTGTTCAATACTTTTTAAGTGTCCTTTTCCGGATGACAAAGAAATATTGCTTGGATGTTGCAGTATTTTCTCATGTGATGGGATTTCAAACTTGTTTATGGATACTGTATCTATTGAAAATACTGAGCTTACTACTTCTGCTTGAAAAGACATTACTCAATTTATCACATTGACTGTGGATAGCTTAAAAAATCATCAATCATACTGTTTCTCAGATCTCTTTTTCCCTTGGTTTTTGTTTTTTTGTGTTTTTTTTAAACCTTTGAGTCTAAATTTCCATCTCAAACTGTTTTGCTACATCTAAGCATTTATCTTTCAATTTTAGACTTTCAGATTAATGCACTACTGTTTTCTTCTTTATAAGACATAGAACCAGTTAACCATCAGAAAGTTAATCACTGTGCTTTAAATTAGAGAAGGCACTTTTCTGATTTCTGACTATTGATTTCCATGGAAAATATCTTCAGGAAAACATCTCTTCAAAGGA